CACTCTAACATCCTCTGCTCTCTGAACTGCCTTTTTAACTGTCAATCTGCCAGTAGTCACTTATTACTGCAGTCAGCATATCTGACCCCAACTAATTTATCTCATCTGAAAAACCAGTTAACTAAAATTATTAGAATTCTGTGTAAAATAATAGTAAACAGTTTCTAGTTCAGAGCCTGGGGTGGCTTTCCTAGAAGAAACAGTGTAAATTTTATTACGTATATTTCATAGTCATCTGCTTTAATTCCAAAGAGATGAGAATGACAATTAAATGACATCTGGGTAAATAAAGTATGGATGCCTAAGTCCTGTACTTTGGGGAAATTAAAAATATACCAATTTTCTGGCATCTGTAGTTTTTAAAATGCTATTAATTTATGTGAACTTAAAGAGAAAGAACCAAGATATACAATATTTACACCCTAAAGTGTTTAAATCCACAGAGTAGGTAGCTTAAAACTTGAGTATATTATTTAAAGCATGCATTATTTTTTGCTTCAAATATCCTTCTCATCTTCATTTTAAGGAGGAAACTGGGGGGAAAGATTCATACCAAGTGAGTGGAACTGATTCGAAGAACATCTAAGCTCCTTGAGAACAGGAGCTATATGGATTCTGTCTTTGAATTCCCCAAGCTTAACACAGTTCCTTAAAACAGGGACTTAATAAATACTTGTGGGAAAAATAGAACCTAGAACTGAAACTGTGTTCCTTCTTCCAAAATCAATGCTTCTACCACAAGATTACACTGCTAATGAATTTACTAGCACATTTTTCTTGACAATTTCTTAATTGTGCAGTTAAAAAAAAAGACATCAAGATCCTGTCTAAATATGCTCGAACAATAAAAACATTTTAATAAAGTTGTTTATATTACCTTTAAGTGGAAAAAGCACATCTGAAAAATGCCATTCCTGTAAAACATTTCCCCATAATACTATAGGTATACCTCATTTTATTGAGCTTAGCAGATTATTATTTTTTTTTTTACAAACTGAAGGTTTGTGGCAATCCTCTATCATGAAAGTCTACTGGTACCATTTTTCCAACAGCATACGCTTACATTGTGTCTGTGTCACATTATGGTAATTCCCAAAATATTTCAAACTTTTTCATTATTATATCTGTGGCGGTGATCTGTGATCTTTGATGTTACTAAACTACACCCGTATTAAGATGGCAAACTTAATTCATAAATGCTGTTATATGTACACACATATCTAAGTTTGCATATGCATTTTACATATGTTTCATGTACAGTTTATGTATGATCTAGAAATATCTATGGCCACTTCTTGTATTATTTAACCTAAAGATTTATGTGGATCGAGGAATTCCAAAGTCTCAAGGCATAATTTTTTTCCCTTGACTTTCAATATGAAGATAAATTAAAGCATATTTGTATAAAATAAATGCACTTAAAAAATAATTTTAGGGTTAATAGCCACAAAGACACCATTACTAATTATTGTTCTTTTAACCTCACATCCAATCAATATGTGGCATTTCAATAACTCATGAAGAGCAACTGAAATAGTTGTTTTTTGGTGACTTGTTGAGCTCTCTAAGGAAGGAAAATAAAAACAAAGACCGGTAAAGCCCAACAACTGCTGTCTTCTCTCTCAAATTACCTACTTGAGAAATTATGGCATTTGAATGTAATGGAATATTAACCTGTCACCAAAAAAGACAAAAATAAGTTTCAGTAACTTTTTTTTTAACGCACTGAAGAGAACAGAAGGAAGGCCAGAATGAAACACAGCCAAGCAAAACAGCTTGGAAAGTTACAAGCTGAATTTATTATATAATTAAAAGGAAAAACAAGCTGTACTTAAGAGATTCATAATTTCATGTACATGCTCTTTTTTCTTGTTCTTCTCATTTGGTGGTTCTTAAGTTGAAAATAAAAAACCATCAAATTACCTACTTGATGGAAGACATATCACACCAATTTTTTAAAAATGCAGTCTATAATAATGAACCGCTTTCCAGAAAAGCGGTAAACTACAAAAATGAGGTATATTTTGTCAGACATAGCCAAGTTTTCTTTTTCTTTGTTACAGAGGGACGCTTCCCCTTTTTTTGAGGTGATCATTGAGAAGAGTCAGTTTTATTTTCAAAAATCAATAAAATAAGCCTTTTTAAGAGAGGACAAGGGGAATAGATAAAGAATCCTAGGATAAAGCCTTGAAGGACACCTATAATGAAGGACACCTATGGATGACAAACTATCATAAGAAATTAATGAACAACAGTGGGGGGAAGGGAAGGAACGAGAGGGGGAATGAAAAGGAGAGGAGGAAGAGGGGAAGGGAGAGAGAGAACCATCTCAAAAATCTAGAGAGGAGACAGCATCCAAGAGGAGATAATAGCCAACAGCGTCAAATGTAAAGAAGTCAAGAAGGATAAGAACCAAGATAAAGTCATCATATTTTGCAACTTAGAAGTTACTAATTGATGCAGAGTACAGTTGCTTCTTCTCAGAAAAGGATGGGAAAAAACTAGGAAAACAACATAAACAATGATAATAAAAATGGAAGGAATAATTGACCAAGCCTGGTTATAAGAGCTATGTAAAGACTCCTTTCTTATATTTTTTAAATTTTAGCCATGGAGGGGACCATGAGTGTGGAACACTGCATATATCCAATTTTTTTTGATATGCTTCCTAGTTTCACAAATCTTTTTTTTCCCTTTCTTCTCTTTCATTATTTAAAGTCACAACTCACTAAGAATATTAAGTTGCTGAAAAGATGCCAAGCTGTGCTGATAGAATCATAGGTCCAGTCACCATCCTTACTCTGTAAGGGAGGACTCTGGGAGGGGAAGGATACAGTAAATAAATTTTAAAACAAAATGTATCAACAAAATTTACTTTAAAAATTAAGGTGACTTTTAAAAGTTTCTGTTGAATGGATGAGTTAGGAAAGTCAGAGTATCAAACCAGAGAAGTGAGAAGACTTAAAGTGGAGGCAACACATATGTGGGTCAGATCTTTCAAGTAGTTAAATAGGATTAACAGTTTGTAGGGTTGATGGTCTAGAAAGGATTTTAAGATAAGAGTTGATTTCAGCAGGCTTGTAGTTAGTTGAGAAGAGATCAACAGGTAAGGTGAATACTAGAGAGCCCAAGGATGATAATGGGACCAGATTCAGCTAAAGAAGAAAAGGATGTTGAGATTGAAGGCAAAGGTGGAAGGTTTGGCCTTGGAAAGGTTGGAAAAGGCTGGGATATCCAAAGAGTACTAAACTTGGAGTCAGGAAGACTCCAAGGTTTAAAATCCTATCTGTTTATTAGTAGTAAGGGGAAACTCAAGTCACTTAAACCTCTCTGAGCTCAGTTTTCTGACCTGTAAAAAGGGGATACAAACTGAAGTGTCTACTTCACAGTTGTTAGGAAGTCTGAGATCTATGCGAAGCACTTCACCAACTTCACAAAATGTATGTAAATGTCAGCTATTACTGCATAGCAGGTTCCAAAATGTTTAACTGAGTCAGCCTTACAAGGATGACAAAAATTGCCAGATTCTATTTGGAATCATAACTAAAGACTGATAACTTTCCCTCCAGCCCTTCTATGCACTGACCACTGACTAGCTCCCTGGATTCTAAGATCTAAGTTTTAAGGGGAACATTTTAGCTTGTCTAAGACACGAGGTACAGAGTTTTAAAAATTATTCTTCGTTTTTAACGATCTGACTCGGTAAAAAGGTATTTGGGAAATAGGAAGGAAATAATCATGAAAGATGCAATGAAGTTTCAATGTTTATGGTCCATGCGGGGGCTCGGTATATTTGCATTATTGTAGTGATTAACAGCATTTTGGTCACCAGTTCCCCATCTAGTGCAAAGTTTAGTGATGGGAACAAACTACACATCCCACGACAGTGCACGTGGAAGCTAATGGCTCAAGCTCAGAGGAGGGGAAGGCCACAGAAAAGCCAAACTAAATTGAAATCTGTCCCATGGCAAGGATCGGAAAGCCTGTTATTTGCCAGATACAACTCCTGCCTGTAAGCATGACCACAGCTGAAGGGGGGGGGATCCTCACAAAACTGGCGCACCCCAATCTCCCGTCTGCACACAGGCCAGGGAGGTGACTGCCACCCCCCTACTCCTCCTTCCAGGGCTTTCCCTGCCCCCATCCTAAGAGCAGGAGGAGCCGCCATCTTCCACTCTTCCTTCCACCATTATACAACCTCTCTTCTCCCCACTGCCCTCGCCATCCTGCAGCCTCCCTTCCCCCCTCCCCCCCAAGAAACCCCAAAGCCCAAAAAGCTGCACCAGGCTGGGTCGGTGGAAGGAGTAGGGACGGAGCTTCTCGCCGGCCCAGTCCCTTTAAACGGTTCTGCACCCCAACACCTTAAAAAAGTCCCCCCCCGAGGCCCGTGCACTCCCCAGCGGACGCGGCGGAGACCGCTCGACTGGAGGCGGCGACCTGCTGCCGCCCGTATCCACCCCGGCTCCCTCGTCCCCTCCCAGCTCCCTCCCGCCGGGCTGCGCACCCCGCGGCGCGGACGAGCGCACCTCCCCGTGCCCCCTCCCCGACTCGGCCCTCCCCTCCCCAGCCGTCCGCCTCCCCCTTTTCCCCGCCCCGTGCAGGAGCGCGCGCAGCGCTCCACAAGGGACGGTTTAGGAGCGCGCGCCTCGCAGCGGGGCCCAGCGCGGCGGCTCCTTCCAGAAATTTCCTCCTCCATAAGCTCACGTATTAAAACAAATACTGTTTAAACCCTATCAAGAGTGCAGGGTGGACCACCTCCCTCTCTGCCTTCTTTTCCCCCCCGCCTTTCTGGTCCCTCCTGCATTCAAACGCGCCCCCCCTCCCCTTCCCCGTCCCTGCTCCATGCCCTTGGGCGCGGTTTATGTGGCATCTCTTCTCCCCACGAACGACCTGGGCGGCAGCAGTGGGGCGGCGGCAGGGAGGCCGGTGTGATTGATAGGGACGGCGGAGAGCGGCGGCGGCGGCGGCGGCGGCGGCGGAGCGGTTGAGTGACAGCTTACCTGGGTGCCAATCTTCATCACACTGACAAGCGGCTGCAGCAATCGGGACCCGCAGTGCCGCACCCGCGTCCAACCGTCACGCCGACGCCGGGCCACGCGACACAGCCTCATTCAATGGAAGGAGGGCTACGCCGACGCTCACCTTATCAATATTCAAAGAAGAGGCGGGGTCCTCGCAGAAAGGGCTCCTCCCACCCCGCGAGTCTACGTGCAGGGGGTGGGGACTCTGCGAGAAGGGGCGGACTGGGAGGGAGTTCTGAACGCATCCTTCCCTTTCTAGGCTCTCCTGCCCCTCCCCCTCCGCCTCCATGCTTAAGATGAACAGGCCACACCCCTAGACCTTTTTTTTGCTGCGCAGTGAGGGAGGAGCCTTTGACCACGCCCACTCTCCGTTTGGCCAAAGTTCCGAAGGTTTTGAAAATGTGCTTTTTGGGTGGGTGCTTGAAGTCCTCGCCCACGCCTTTTTTCACCCGACCACCACAGTCTCCCTCCTTCCCTAATGGTAGTCTCCTGGCTGGCGTGCACGTTTGTGCAAAGCCTTAGAGGAAGAGATCCTTAGATGGATGAAACCTTCTTCCTCAAACGGGAAGAGAGACTACTACCAATACATTGCTTTCCCCCAAACGCAGAATTTCACCCTCTTGAAAGAATTGATTAGTTTTCTTCCATCACCAGCCTAAGTTACAATGCTTATTAACCTAGCAACCTTTTTACAAATTATTGCACGTTCCTTAAAAATTAAAGGTTCGCGTTGACAGCAAAGTGATCGCTCGGATGATTTCGAACAAGACCACCAATACAAAACTCAAGAGGAACTTTTCGAACCTTCCTGTTCCGACTTCGGGCTGCATTTCTTCAGAGATTGTGAATTGAAAGGGACCTCAGTGGCCATCTTGTCCAATCTGTACCTGAAAAAAGAATCCCATTTATGGTACATATGGCCCAGTCTTTGCTTAAAAATCTCCCTTTGAGGAAGAACACACTATAGGAATGCAACCTATTCATTTTTGAATGACAGTAAATTGTTAGGAAATGTTTCCTTATTTGAAGCCTCGATTTCCCTCTTTACAATTTCTGCCCATTGCTCCTATATCTACCTACTGGGATAAAGAAGAATAAGCCTATTACCTTTTACAGGCTACAAACTTTCAAATATTTGAGAATAGAATAGCTATCATGTCTCTTTGAGTCTTCTCACCATGCTAAGCCTTCCTCAGTTCTTTCAATAAGTTCCCATATGTCATGAACTCAAGGTTCTTCATCATCCAGCCCATAAATGTCTTAGCTAAATGGTGGCACCTAGGAACACTCTATATGTGGTGTGAGCAAAGTAGAGTATAATTGGACTATCTTTATCTAGTTTTGTAGCTTAGAAACTATATCCAAGATTAGCTTTTTTTTTTTTGCTTCTGTGTCACACTCTGAATTCATCTTGGGTTTATAATGAAAGGAAAGAAACTAGCATATTAAGTATAGGTGTTTTACTGTACTCACAACACCCTTGGAAGGTAAGTGCTAATATTATCAGCGTTTTACATTTGAGGAAACTAAGGCTGACAAAGGTTAAGTGACTTGCTCAGAGTCACACAGCTAGTTAAATGTCTAAAACAGATTTGAACTGAGACTTCCTGATTTCAAGATGAGCACTCAATCCGCTATGCCATCTAGCTGCCTAACCCATTAAAACTCTTACCTTTATGCTTATAATTATGAAGTTGGTTTTCTTGAACAAAGTTTAATATTTTATGTTTACCCAAATGCTCAAATAGATATATGTTCTCATTAATTTGAAAATTCCATTCAGGGGTGCAGATTACACAAATGCCACCCATCCTGTTCAGTATTTATCTATGTCCTCTCATAAATTCACCAAAAGGGGGAAGCTATCCCTATGTTGGGTTGATACTACAAGGATGGCCTGTAGAGGCCTCTTATTCCACCAGTAATGACTTGTCTCTCTATGTGACCAGCTCATCTTCTTTCCCTAGCACACATTTCCTTGATGACAATTTTTATTATTCTTTGAAGTTCTTCATTGGTTATTTGTCATGTGTTTGCATCTCTCCATTGCCTTCTGTGTGGTGTTTATTTTCGATTGTAATATTTATGAAGTGATTTGCCTTAAAAAGCTATATAAATAAAATGTTATTATTCAGAAACTGTTGTATCCCATGTCTCACTTCCATGCAGCAACACTAATAGAATGTTGGTATTAAAAAGAAGAAACTTTGTTTCTAGGGGAAGTTAGGACTATTAAAGGTGCTTTGCAATTTCTCAAAGGCTATACAGCATGCTCCCCTCTTCTTGTTCAACTCTTAGCCCACATAATTGTCATGAGAATTCTGTTTCAGATATATACCTTGATGGACAAACTTTATAGTTTGTCCATAAAAATGTCATTATCTAGGCAATAGACATTCTTCAGCCATTTGGCTCTTTTCTTTGTGGATTCTTAGGCTTAGAGGTTATTTATCTCTATTAGAAACCTCTTCAGTGTTCCTAAACTGGATATAACCAGTAAACAACAAACCTGGAGGACATCGCCATTTATGGGTAATAAATAGATCTTCAACTTGAACTTTATACTGGATCTACTCCAACACAATAGCAACTACTTTTGTTGAGCATATGTTTCTTTTATACGTTGATACTATTTTTTAAGAACTTTTTTCACTTGATGAAAATCCATCTTTCTCCCTCCCATTTCCCCGTCTCATGAAAAGAAAAACCCTTATAAAAATATTCATAATCAAGCCAAACAAATTCATTCATTGGCCATGTTAAAAAAATGTATCTTACTTTACACTCTGAGTATTTTACCTCTGTGTCAGGAGGTAGATAGCTTATTTCATTGTGAATTTTCTGGAATCCTCATTGGGCATTGCATTGAGTACAGTTCTTAGATCTTGAAATGTTTATCTTTACAATGTTATTGTTATTGCATAAATTGTTGTCCTGATTCTCCTCAGTTCACACAAATCTTCTCAAGTTTCTCTGAAAACTTCCCTTTTAACTTTTCTTAAAACACTATAGTATTCTGTTACATTCATATACTATAATTTGCTCAGCCATTCCCCAATTAATGGATGACCCCCTAGTTTCTGCTTCTTTGTCATTACAAAAAGAGCTGCTATTTTTGTGCATATTTTGTGCATTTTCCTCTTTCTTTGATCTCTTTGGGGCATAGGCCTACTTGTGTTCTGGAAGGGTCATACCACACACTCGTAACTTTCTGGGCATAGTTCAAAATTGCCTGCCAGCCCACCAGAATGGCTGCACAAGTGCTGTTGTTGTCATTGTTGCTGAGCTTCATTCTTGAAGACGACCAATTCAATGCCCCAGGAAAAATATCAGTGCAATTCAATGTCATATGAGGTATATCCTGTTAAAACATTTTTACAATGATTAGATTTCCATTGAAGATGGTTTGTGATGCTTTTATGGTCTGAACCAAGGAAAAGTAAGATGAATTAAATTTTTTGCTTAGACTTTTCTAGAAAACATTTTTTTTTTGGCTAGGCAATCAGGGTTAAATGACTTGCCAAAGGTCACACAGCTAGTAAGTGTCAAGTGGCTGAGGTCATATTTGAAGTCAGGTCCTCCTGACTCCAAGGCTGGAGCTCCATCCACTACACCACCTAGCTGCCCCTAGAAAACATTCTTTTATTTTTTTTCTTTTTCTTCTTTAAAATTTTATTAATTTATTTTGATTTATTAACAATCACTTCCATATGCTTCTGAGTTGAAAATTTTTCTCCCCCTTTCTCCCCCCCCACCCTTTCCAAGACAGTGCACAATCTGATATAGGCTTTACATTTACATTCCTATTAAACATATTTTCACATTAGTGAAGTTGTAAGTAAAAATTAAAACCAATAGGAGGAACCATCAGAAAGATGAAACAAAACTCAACAGAAGAGAAAAAAAAAAGAGATGGCGATTCAATTTCTATAGTTCTTTCTTTGGATGTGGACAGCATTTTCCATCCCAAGGCCTCTGGAGATGTCTTAGATCCTTGTAATGCTGAGAAGGGTTCCATTTAACAATATTAGTCATCGAATAACGTGGCTGTTATTGTGTACAAAGTCCTCTTGGTTATGCTCACTTCACTCAGCAGCAGACCATATAAATCTTCCCAGGTTTTAGAAAACATTATTTTAAACGAGTACATAAAGATTGACAAAATCAAAGAAGTTAATCTTTTTATATGCATAAATGTATATGTTTTCCAACAACTCCTCTAATATTCACCATTTTCCTCTTTCATCATCTTTGTCAGTGTGATAAGTGAAGCAAAACATTAAAGTTGCTTCAATTTGCATTTTTTTATTAATGATATAACATTTTTTATATTTTGTTGATAAGATGGATTTGTTCCTTTGAAAATGGCCAGTTCATACTTTGACCATTTATCTATTGGGAAATGACTCTTAGTCTTATAAATTCGAAGCAGTTCTTTATGTATCTTGTATATAAGACTTTTATTTGTTAAAATTTTTTCCCTAGTTACTTGCTTCTCTTCTATATTTATTTGTTAAAAAAAAACTTAAATATTATATATTCAAAGTTGTCCATTTTATCTTCTGTGATAACTTATTTAATTCCAAACTTTTCTCCTATACACGAATCTAAAAGGTAATTTCTTCTTTGTTCCTCTGATTTGTTTATAATCTAACTTTTTATCTAGATTATATATCCATTTGGAGCTAACTTGCTGTATGGTGTAAGTGGTTGGACTAAACTTAATAACTGCCAGAATGCTATCCAATTTTCCCAGCAGTTTTTTATCAATTAGTGTGCCTTTCTCCCAGTAACTAGTTTTTGTATTTACCAAACACTATAATTTTTGTTTGCTTCTGTATATTGTATACCTTAATCTGATACAGTGATCAATCTATTTTTTAAACAGAACCAAATAATTTTAATTATTACTACTTTATATTACAATTTGAGATTTGGTACTGATAGATTCCCTTCCTTCCAACTTTATTTTATTATTATACTTTAGATACTTGATCTTCTAGTTTTCCGTATGAATTTCATTAATAGGTTAGTAAATTAATAGATTCATTACTAGGTTAGGAAAATATTATTTTGGCAGCTTGACTAATATAGTACTACATATTTGAATTCAGGTATTTTCATTTTTGTTAA